CTCCTGCTGAGCCTGGGGCAGTGTGCTGGAAGGCTGGCTGGCTACTAGTGCCTGGCAACTCCTTCCTGCTCATCTTCAGATAAAAGAAAGGCAACTTTAAATGGAAGGACTGGAAACATATTATCTTAACAGATTCCTGTAAAAAACAAATATTGTCTGCGTTGTGGATGTTTCTGAACAAAACACAGGTGTAGAAACTGCATGTATTAACATGTATGGATAGAGACATATATGTTACAGTAAAGGAGTTTGGCAGGGAGAGTTGTTTTCTTGCTTTGGTTGTTTTTCCCCACCTCTCATCCCTGGGCATGCATTTCCCTTTCTGATTCTAAAAATTGAGCTCTGCCAGGCGACATGTTCTTCAACTAAACGCTCCTGGCTGTAACTCCTTGCAGAAAGGAAAGAGGCATTATTGATATTGTAATCTGTGACAGCAAACCATAGGAGTGAGTTTTTATTCTGTGTCCTTTGGCAATGTTTTGAGCTAAAACCTCATCCCTTTAGAGGGATGCTTTGAATATTTTCTTAGAGGTGGTTTCTGAAATGAGTGTATTTACATTGCATGGAGGTGTAAATGTGCTAGGGTAGTATTTTTCTTGAAGGAACTGCAGAAATTCCCATGTCTGAAGTAGTAGGAAAAGCACGGTAAGAGAGAATGCATCAGTCTTGGATAGCTGTACTTGTCCAAAAGGCGGATTCGTGGCCTGGTGTGCAGTAAGTCAGTTGTCACACACTCAGGAGAGACATTGCTTGTTTATTTCATTTCTGCGCAGAGATGGGTGCTAGGTGGTAACTCCACAAAGGTAGCCCACCTTGGTTAACACACAGCAGCATTTTACACACTCAGAGCAAAGTTATCAGTTATTTTGCAGTCGTGCTTAATTGCTTTTGTTTCTTATTAGTTCTCATGAACCTCGCGTTCATTTAAAGCTACAGTGTCCTTGCTTTGTACTACACTTGTTCTGTGAGGAAGGGTCTTCACCTGGGCAAGGGTCCTTTGACCTGGGGGTGTGATTTTTGGTATTATAATGAGGTTAGTTCAATTAAGGATACACGGACCTTGGGCTTGCTTGCCAAGTTTTGGATGTTTTCAAAACATCTTGATTAGTTGTCCTTTCCAGGCCTACTTGCTCCAGGATGCCCTTGCTTTAAGAATGCTAGCTATATTTTTCTGATTGCAAATGATTAAATAGTCTCATTTTTGTTTATCAAATTGTTCTGAACTTCTGAGTTAGTCTTCAACGTACTTACCACGGTGCCATCAGGTGGATACACTACATTTTTTCTACAGTTAATATAGGTGCCTTGTCCACAGTAAAGTAGGAGTGCTTTTTTCGGCCTTGTGCTAGAAGGCACAAATTAGTTGATACCTGTGAGACAAGAAAGGCAGTTCTCAGATCTAATACAAAACCTAACTGCTCTGCTAAGTCCTTGCAATTAACAACACAATCCCTTCCAGTTGAAAAATCAGATCTTCCTTTCAGCTACTGGAGAGTTTGGATTAATTTCAGTATAAATAGGTTGTGTTAATTTCCATGGACAAGATGGTGAATTCTATCAGCAAGGACTGATGGGTTTACTTTGCACTGATATTGCATGTTATGAAGAGACTAAACCTTTTGCCTGAGAAAGGAATGTCATTAAGCAGCTGGTAAGAGCTGTGGCTGCGTCCTTTCTTTGATCCCTCTCCCTCTAAGCCTCCATCATTGAAATAAGATAGTTGCTTCACAGCAAATGGCATCTGGAACGCAGCATTTGCAACCTATCATGTGCCTTACAAGGGTATTTCTTGTGTTAGAATAATGTTGCTTCCTCTGTAGATACCGTTTCAAAATTTCTTACTTAATTTGGTGAGCATCATAAGAAGCTTTAGTATTTCTACCAAAGTAGTACTAAGTACCAGATCACTGTGAGTCACAGCTGTGACAATGAAGTGCTTCTTTATGTACCTGTAATAAGTACTTGTATTTGTCATCTTAGTATTCAGTAGTCTTTATCGTAGCACTGCATTATTCCCAGTACTAAAGTAACTTTAAATGCACACTGTTGTGGCTGTTTTCTTTTGTTACGTTAACAGGTGTTTGTTTATCTTTGTGATACCACTGTATTTCAGTAACAGATACTTTCCCACAACATATTCAGACTGCTGGCATGTGTTTGTTCCCAGTAGAAATTGACTCAGCTATTTTTTTCTACAAATAAGATGTTTGTTCAGAGTTTTTTATTGAAAACTAGGAGAAATTCCATACTTTGCATTTTAGATTAATATAACAAGCTTAGTAAATTATGAAACACAGATAACTTTGTTTCAATCCTGTCTGTGCCTTCTGAAAGACATTATGGAGAACTCCTTTCAGATGCCTAACTCAGTGTCTGTATTCACGGTCCTGATGGAGGAGACAGAGCAAAGACAGAAAAGTCTAATACTAGAGAAAGTAGAGAAGAAAATCTTGGCGGTTAAAATAAGCAGGCATTGCCAGCTAGCGTGTTTTGAAATGTTGCCCACAATGGTCAAGCCATTCTAATGATGAATGCTTTGTTTCTTTGTTTTCATGAAGACTAGAACACCATTTCAGTATTCTAGCTTTAAAAAAAAATAAAAAATCCTTAGATGGGTATTTGATTTGGAAGGTTTCCTTTCAGTGCTTTTAAGCTGGTTTTTCTGCTGTATTTAGGGGCATCTTTGCAGTTGCTGTTTACAGCAGAGAAATCAGTTGCTGGAGTGGGAAATGGCTATTGCATCTTGAATTACACCGTATTTATGAAATGTCAGGGTGAGCTACGGTAAGCAGCTGAAATATGCTTAGATCAGTGGATATTTAATTTCCTGTGTGGCACAATACATTGCTGCACAGCATAAAGACATTAGTTTCCTAAGATCCAGAAAAAAACATGTTTCATTTCTATGTTCTTTGTGACACATCATAATCATGACCAAAGAGGTACTGAGAAAAGAGAAGTCTGCAGATTTTTTTTCCCTAGTTTTTGAAATTCTTTACCCATGTTAATCTGAAGTGGCTCAGTTCCTTGTGGGGCTGACAGAGGGGTTGTTGAAGCTAAAGCTGGAGAGCTGAAGGGGTTGGTGAGGCATTACTTCCTGTATTACTGGCTTGTTTATATTCTGCTGTTTAAAAGATGTATACCTAGTAAGCAGGCAAGATTTTTTTTGTTAAAATGAAAATAAGTCACAAAACAATAAATACAGCTTTTTAATATATATTAAGTAGTACATGTGACCTAATGAGGGACCAGTCTGTGTTAGCACAAGACATGGTAAAATGACTGCTTTCAGTCTATGAATTAGCTGTAGGACAACATTTTCACATATGATAAAAATTACATTTTATAATACATGACACTTTGTAAATTTTCTGTGAACAGCAACTACCTACTCTTCCTTCCTATTCTTTTTACACATGTGGTATTTCATAGACGACTGATAGGTCATACACTCATGCTAATGATATTGATCTCTGACTAATCTTTGAGCACTAGGATACATGTGTTCCCTCGCTAACCTTTTTGTGCTGTTGTTTGACAGAACCTTGGATTCTAGTTACTTGTCTGCTAGAATGAGATATCACTGGAGTCAGTATAATCAGAAAATCAGTAACGTTAGTCTCTCAAATATATGAATTGCTTCTAGACAGGTAATATTTTATTTACCAAGCAATTTCTGTCTGTAGTTTGTTTCAGAGCTCAAAATTTGAGATCCATTGGTGAGTTTGAGTTGGATACCCATTTTGCTTGAAATGTTTCTATTCCTAGTTTGAGTGAGCATGCCAGTGAGAATAAATGTGCTAAGATAGTATTGAAATTTGCGT